ATTATTATATTATATAAATAGAATATAAATCTTTTTTATTGTATATAAATAATAAAATATTTCTACATATAAAAAATAAACACAATACAATTAAAGAATTAAAAAGATTAATCTACCATTAAAATTAAATAAATCAAAGCCAAAAGACAAAAGGAAGTGCAAATGGAGTTTGGGTTTTCAATGCGGGGACAACTCGGCGGGTCGATTCAGGCGAGCAGCAGCGGCAAGCGGCAGCACTGGCGGCAACGCAGGCAGCACCAGTGGCAACGCAGCACCGACGGCAAGGCAAAATCAGTGCAACGATGGAGTTCTAGAGATGGAGATTCTGCCATCGCCGGAGAAGACGAACAACTAATTCTAAAATTCTTAATTATCATCCATAATCTCAGAAGAATTTAGTTTCTAAAATCGTTCAAGATCGCACGATCTCATGATCTCGCGATTTTGTGCGCGATCTTCTATCGATTCTTCAAGACCCACGATTTTTGTCCGATTCAGATCGTTGAAGCCCTTTAACATCGTAAAATCGTGCGATCTTAGGATTTAGATCGCGATTTTAACAACCATGGGGTTACTGTTTACACACCGAGAGTCGACAATTAACGGGGATTTAAATGATTAGTTTGTGATATAAGTACGAATTTGGAGATATTTGATAATGTGGAGATTGATAGAAATAACACCGTGATTAAGGGTGATCCTAATGATGATTTCAGTTTGAATTTATGGTGATACGATAAATAATTGTGGATATTTTGATTAGGTTTTCGATCGTTTTGTCAGTTAGCATTGAGATTGAATCTTCAGTTTATGCAAGTAAGGTAAGTAAATTTATGGTAATATGCTCGTACTGTTTTTAAAAGCATGTTTTGACTTGTTTTTGAAGTGGTGGCGGGATTAAACCCGTTTTATGCAAAAATGAGCATGATTGATTTGAAATAAGATTTTTATGCTTTTCATTAAATTGAGCATGCCTACTTGAAACTTAATTGATTGTCCTGATGATTTGAAAGTGATTAGTGAATTATGAATTTTCTGTTAACTTCTGCCTGTTTTGTCTCCGATATGGTCATGTTATCTTGTTGCCCGTTAGTGGGAGGTTTATAAACACTAGCACATGTCGACATGTTACTCATAGAACCGGTTCGTTTCTGTTATTCTGCTAGTGGGATTTTACACTAGTAATTCCTGTTGCCTGCTAGTGGGAGGTTTATAACACTAGCCGTGACCTATAGAGGAGACGTCTATTTTATTCCCGTACTGTATCCATTTTTCGTGACTATACTTGTTGGCATGCTATAAGTTTAATAAGGGCACTCCATATTTTACTTACTGAGTTTATTTCATAGTTTTTCCTTGTCCACCATTTCAGGAACCGAAACTGAGGACGGGGAAACCACGGGAAGTGACGAGTTAGAAGGTTAGCCATTATAATTGGATATGAAATTTTAGAGATAAATCATGATCTTGTAAGCTAGAGTGTATTTGGAGATTTATGATATTAGAGCAAATTATAAAATTTGATCTTTAGATTTTGATGGTATCAAATTATGAATTTGATAAGTTTCGAGTTTTGTGCATTTGTGGGACCCTCTCGTGAGTGCACGGTATCTGTCGCGCCTCGAATTCGGATTTTGGGGCATGACAATTCAGTACCACAGGGCCTGCACGGATGAAAAGGTTACGATTATTGGGAGTCAACCAGTTGGAACATACATGTAAAAGAGTACGATTGTACAAACACATACAAGCATACACTATTTTGAACCTGAAAAACATACATTCTCCTCGTTCATGAGTGTAACTACGGATGACACCATGGTCTTCAATATCATTATCTTTAATTCTTGCAGACTACTGCAGATTGGGAGCGCATGTATAAAAGACCATGAATACCAAACGACATGCATATCAATTTAATGGATCTCCACACATACACACACATATATATATATATATATATTTATTGCACTCTTCAAACTTGTTTTCCTTTAATATGCAATCTTTTCACATCTCTTAACTCCACTTCATATAAGAGCCTTTACTCCAACAATAATATAATTAAATAATATATGATTTTAAAGATTGTTGAATTTATTGTTAATTAAGTGTCTTTTTGCAAGTTGGGTATATGGTTTTCATTTTTATTTTTTTTTATATAAAGACTATAAATTTAACTTTAAATTTATAGGTAAAAATATAGCTAACTCTTCCATTAAATCACATTGCTTACAGTGCAAGACATTGGGAAATTGGGGGAAATTTTTTAAATTATTGGTGGGAGTAAAACTCTTGACCAATAAAACTCAAATATTTAGGTTTAAAGACAAACCACTGGACCGATGGACTAATTCAATATATAGTTCAATTTCTAAAACCACCACTTAACGGGAAATTTAATTAATCATGCTGGTCTGGTACCCTTGGCACTTGCTTGATGAATTGGTTGATGTGACTGAAAGTGTAAAGAGTTACAAATATGAAGGCTGCCCACCACGCCTTCCTTCTCAAATTTATGGATCATATTGAACTGATCGTCCATGAATGTTTTAGATGCACTATTATAACAATTTCTATTTTTCAACTGTGTTTATTTTAATGAAAATACTATTGTTACAATACCATGTGATATTGTAAATTTATAATATGATATATTATTATATAATTAATTTTTTTTATTTAAAAATTTATTTGTAATATTGTATAAATGTATTCATTTAATATTATGTCATACTTATTTAATATTATGTTATGATTGTAAGTTTATAATCTTATATAAGGAGGCATTTTCAAAGAAATATTTCAACATATTTTAATTAAATCATATGAGTCTATCACATATCTTTGAATCTATTCAATTTAAGTAAGACATGTGTCATCATTTTCATTATTTTGATTGCATAAAGCATGCGATGTATTGACAATAAGAGACGGTATGTCACGAGTTTATTGTCCAAAAGTCCAACATCGAGGTTGAGGCTATTTATTTTCAACTTAATTCCACTATTATGCAATTGATTAGCTTATAAAAAATTCATGTTGTGAAAATATTTCAAACATGATGTTGTGATATTTACAATCAACCATTC